GCGTGAAGGTCTCTGCCCACCAGGGTATGCTGTGCTCACACAGATAAAAGGCAGAGAAGCAGGAGGGAGCAGGAGTTTATGAATGTTCACCCATGTTTGTTAAACACGGAGCTCACCTGTAATAGAATCTATCTGCTTCCCCTCCACCTCAGCCTCTACTTGAAAACAGATAATAAATTACTTTGTTAAGGAAAAAACTTGTGTTTTAAGATTTCCAAAGTATCTGGGTCTCTGTCTTAGTCCATTTGGGCTGCTATAACAAAAATACCATAGGCTGGGGGCGCTTAAACAACAAACGTTTATTTCTCACAGTTCTTCAGACAGAAAAGTCCAAGATCACGGTGCTAGAAGATTTGGTGTCTGGTGAGGGCTGTCTTCCTGCTTCCCAGACAGCCAGTTTCTCACTGTGTTCTCACATCACAGAAAGAGCCAGAGAGCTCTCTGGGGCCTCTTTCCTAAGGGCACTAATGCCACTCATGAGAGCACCACCCTCATGATGTAATCACCTTCCAAAGGTCCCACCTCCTGATACCATCACACTGAGGCTAAGATTTCAACATAAAAATTTGGGGGGATACGATATTCAGTCCCTAACAGCCTCATAATGCAAGTTGTTCCTGAGAAAAAGAAATGGAGTCCCATAGAAATGAAGTTAAAACCTGAACCCTTATGGAAACAACACCCAGCTGTGTACAAGAGTTGTGACAATGGCCTAGGAGTTGAATGTACTCACTGCCACCTCTGGCCACAGGGGCTGACTTATAAAGTAGCTTTCAAAAGTCATAAGAGTAGGGTGGAAGGTCCAGGGCCTATTTTCACTGGAGCCTTCTTAAAATATAAGCATTTTATTTTGGAAAATGTTTGAATTTTCAGAAAGTTCTAAAGACAATACAGACACCCAAATTCCCTGATGATTACTTCTTATATAACTATGGCACATTTGTCAAAAACTAAGAGGGTAACACTGGCATGTTTCTAAGAACTAAACTCCGGATTTTATTCAGATTTCACAACTAATGTTCTAACTTTGGGCCTTTTAAAAAAATGTTAACAGCAAGGAGTTAAAGGACCAGATAGGCAAGTATGGAACTCGGTTCTAGTTCCAACTCTGCCACATGCTAACTACAGAACCTTAGAGTTTATTTTCTGAGGTTGTTTCCTGTCTGACATACCTCCATCTCTCAAATGCTGACTCTAGTCACAAATCCAGTTTGCCCTTCACGTCTCTATCTAAGCATTTCTCTGGTAGCCACTGGCTCGAGTTAGGCAACAGACATCCTTGACTCAGCAGGGACCCCAGCTGACTCTCCAGTTAGAGAATGCGGTCCCTTTGGGCTTTTTCAGATTTCAAAATTACTTGAAAATCCACATCTCAAATGGATGGGGGTGGACAGCCTTTCCCCCGAAGCCTGAGAGGTGCGTACCACAGCAGGGCCAACAGCTGTCCAGCCACCTCCATTTCTTCCCTTCTTCCTGGGTGTGCACTGCGTTTCTCAAGCTCCTTTACATTAAAGGGCAGCCGCGGAACTGAGTTCTAGCCAACATCATCTGAGAGGAAGTGTGTGACACTTCCACAGCTGGCTTGTAACATCTGCCAAGCAATCCTCGAAGCTCTGGAGACCACGTTGACATTGGTATCAGCCTGGACCCTAAACATGGATTGAGTGCCTGCTCCCGCTGCCCCAATCTGAAACTACCCCGGACATTCCAGAGTGAGGAGGGAGAAGAACGTCTACGGTGATACACCAGTCCGCTGGCGGCTGCCTTAGCGGTTTAGCACGGACTGACACGGACCCTAAATGTCAATTCCGATAGAGCACGACCTTGATTCTGGATCTGTGTTTACGGCCTCAGGTGCACAGAACTGAGTTGATCACATGCCAGAGTTCAGGACACACTACCCTATTCACCCACACAAAGCCCCTCTTTCGTTTCCCTGACCCTCCTTCATTCCCCATTCTAGTCCCACTCTGTTCCCTCTCACTGGCCCTATTCCAGCGAATTAAGGTGCATATCCTCCTTAAATAATAATGTTGCTTTGAGTGTTTAATTTATTGAACTGATTTTTGCTGTAAATTTAATTGTTCTTTATTTTCCTTACCTGGAGTCTATCATGTCTAAGTTCCTAACTGCTTGCAGCTAACTACTTGTTATAATATTCCATCATGTGCATATGCCACATTTTACTTATCAGTTCTCTTAGGGATAGATATCTAATTTTGCTTCCAGCTTTTTGCTACCCAAACTATACCTAGATAACCATCCTTACACGTAAACTCCCTGGGGACCTGTTTAAGTTTCTCTGACAGACATGGCCAGGAGTGGAACTTCTTTGATGTAGGGCATTACATACTGAATGCATTACCTAGTATCTATTGCTATACAACGAATTACCTTAAACCTTTGTAGCTTAAAAAATGCATTACCTAGTATCTATTGCTATACAACGAATTACCTTAAACCTTTGTAGCTTAAAACAATTAATACCCACAGAATGAGAGAAAATATTTGCAAATCACATATCTGATAACATACATTTGTAACTAGACTATATAAGTAACTTTATAAAAGAATGTATATATGTGTGTCTGTATGTGTGTATATATATATATGAGTATGCATGTGTATGACAAATAACCCAACTAAAAAATGGGCCAAGGATTTGAATACACATTTCTCCAAAGATGTATAAAGATGTTAGTCAACATTAGGCATTAGGGAAAATCAAATCAAAACCACAATGAGATACCACTTCATACCCACTAGGGTGGTTATCATAAAGACATAAGTGTTGGCAAAGATGTGGGAAAATCTGGAACTCTCATATACTGTTTTGGAAGTTTGGTAGTTCTTCAAAAAGTTAAACATGGAATTATCAGATCACCTAGCAATTCTACTCCAAGAACAGTGAAAATGTTTGTCCATATAAAAACTTGGATGTGAATGCTCATGGAAGTAGTATTCACAACAGACAAAAAATAGAAACAACTCAACTGTCTACCAAATGCAACATGAATAAATACAATTTGGTATATATCCATATAAGGGAATGTTATCCAGCCATAAAAAGGAATGAAGTCCTGATGCACACTACAACATGGATAAGCCTTGAAAACGTCATGCTAAAAGAGCTAGACACGAAATGCCACATGCCGTATGACAGTCCCACTGACATATGAAATACCCAGAATAGGCAAATCTACAGCAACAGTAAGTAGATTAGTGTTTGCCGAGGGCTGGGGGAGGTGGGGACAAGTGGGGAGTGACTGCTCATAGATACAAAGTCTCTGTACCCACTGAGTAATCAAAATGTTTTAAAATTAATTGTGATGGCTGCACAACCACAACTCTGAGATGTCTAAAAACCACCGAATTGTACACTTTAAATGAGTAAACTGTAGAGTATGTGTATTATATCTCAATAAAGCTGTTTTGAAAAAAATAAACACCTATTATTTCAGTTTCTTTGGGTCAAGAATTGGAAGCTGGGTGATTCTGATTCAAGATCTCTCATGCTGGTCAGGGCTGCTAAAGGTCTGAATGGAGCTGGAGGATCCATTTCCAAGGTGGCTCACGCACACGGTTGGTGAGCTGGCACTGTGTGTTTCTGAGGCCTCAGTGTGTCTCGACATGGGCCTCTCCAGAGGGCTATGAGAGTGTCCTCTGGACATGGCAGCCAACTCCCTCCAGAGCAAGTGAAAGTACAAGCCAAATGCTTCAATGTCTGTGATGACCTAGCCTTGAAGTCACACATTCCCAGTATACCCAACTGATGACAGATCAGCCCATACACTGTCGGAGGGCCTACACAAGGCCTGAATACCAGAGGTCAGGGATCACTGGGGGCCATCCTGGAAGCTGGCTATCAATACTTGATGCTAAGGAAGACAATTGTAGTAACAATTTTGTGATACATACTATATGACAGACAGTTACAAGCTCACAATAAAACTACAAGGTAGATACCATTATATCCATTTCACAGATGAAGAACTAAGGCACAGAGAAGTTAAGTGCCTTACCAAGGCCACACAGTTAATAAAAAACATAGATGGGATCCAAATTCAGACAGTGTAACTCCAGAGCCACACTCTTACTATGCTGCATCCCAGATACGACTTAATTTCCACTAAGTGTTGCCTACTTGTTCTTCAGAATGGATACACCAGTTGATTCTCCCCATGAGTTTTCATTTCCCATGAGAGTTCAGTCTCTTATTTTTGCCAAACTAATAAATATAAAATAGAAACTCTTTACTGTTTTAATTTACATTACTCTAATTACTAGTAAGGTAATATGCTTATTAGCCATTCTGGTTTTCCCCTTAGACTTTATGTATTCATATTCTTTGCCATTTTTATGTTTTATTTTTGTCCCTGATTTACAGTTCTTTCTATATTCAATCCCTTATATATGCAATCACTTGTCAATTTTAGACATTGCAAATATTTTCTCACAATCTATACCCATCCTTAGCTTTGACTTTGAGACACTTTGTTGACTAGGAACCACTAATTATAAAGTAGTCAAAGATATAAAATCCTATGGACTGTGCTTTGGGGACCTTATTTAACAAATCTATCCTCACCCAAAAGTCACAAAGACAGCCTCAGTTTTTTTCGTATGGGCATTAATATTTTACCTTTCATTTAGATATTTCATCACTTTGGTATTTGTCTTTGTTTTATATGGTTGGAGGTAAGGATCCAGCTTTGTTCATGTCCATATAATAAGCAAATTTTCTGAGCACTGTTAACCATCTCTTCTGCACTAACTTGTGGCACTGCCTTTATCATACACCATGTCACCAGGCAGCCATGCCTGTAAGTTTAGTTTAGCCCTAATTCTTATTTTTTAAGAGGAAGAATCTATCACTGTGCAAGTTTTTACTCTTACTATTTTCTGGATTAATGAAAAATCCAACCATCACCCTCCAAGATCCCTAGGGGTTCAATATCAGCCTGTATTCTTCCCACAAACAGAATACCCAGTTAAGAAAATGATTTTGAAAAAATAAATGCATATTTATTAAAAAAGACAAATTCCCAAGAACAAACCAGGCACACTAAGAAATCAATGCTTCCTCTGACAGCCAGCAATAGCCAATGTTGGCATGTATACCTGGTAAGAACAGGCACTCAGTCCAAACATCAGCTCTCACATATTCTTCTGCAGTCAAAACCGGCATTCAACAAATTGCTGATCCGTGTAGGCCCTGATTATTAACATAGACAACTTTTATAGCTGAAATCTGGCTGCCCTACGTCCACTACCACAACCCGCAACCATCCCCACAGCCTCAGAAAAGTTACATGTCCTCAACACTCCACTTGTAGGCAAGTTCCTCCACCGCCTTCTTGCTGGCAAGCCTGGCAAAGCGCTTCTGTTCAAATCCATTGGATCTGCAATCAAGAGATACTCATCAGCCAGAATCCTGAACCGGACATTTATTCTTGAAAAAGAGGTGGTCACAATCCAATGAGTGAAGAAAACCAGGCAGTTATGTGGAAATATTCAAGGCATATGCAACAGAGTGAGAAGGACAAAATTCGCAAGTCATCCTCTCGGCTCTTCTTCAGCCCCTCCTCCCTCCCTGACACCTTGTCCTCACCCGCTCGCCTCTCCGGAGGCCAGCTGGCTCCCGGCTGATGCCTGCACCATACTTCACCTAGTCACTACGCAAACACTTGAATTTTTTTATATACTAGGCACTGTATTATGAAAGTAAGTGCAGCACAGCACCTATCCTGATGGACTCACAGACTATGGGAGAGACTGACATTCAAGCCAATAATTAAAATAAAAAGCATAAACTATGATAGAAATACGCATTGGGTTTCGTGGAAACGGAACAAGGACCTTACTAAGCTTGGGAGAAGGCTAGACAAGAATGGTCAGGGAGGATTTGTGCAGGTGGCCCCTAAGCTCAGTCTGAAAAGATAGAATTGACAAGAGGCCTGGAGCTGGGGGGCAGAAGGGTGCAGAGGGCCTTCCGGACAGAGCACGGCGGGGGCAACAAAAGCAGAAGCACAACAGTGAGAAGCAGCCCGGCACCCACAGGGAACCGGAGGCGAACCGGCAAGGCTAGAGCCTGAAGCACGGCGAAGGGAGTCTGGGGCAGAGCCAGAAGGGCAGGCAGGGGCCAAGGCATCATCAGCTCCGCCGGCCACGGCAAAAAGCTTAGGGACAGACTTAAAGCAGGAGCATCACCTGCATTTCAAAGGTATCATCACTCTGGATGCGACTGGAGGCAGGAGAGGGACTGCAAGTCCCAGGCAACAGCTGACTACGCGATGAGGAAGAAGAGGGACAGAAAGAAAACACGGTGGGACTCAGTGACCGATCACACATGAGGGCAAAGGACGAGGAGGCAGGCGTGACTCGAGGGTTAATAGTTTCAATGACTGAATGAATGAAGCTGCCACTAACCGACACAAAACACAGGAGTGGGAACACGTTCCAGGTAGGGGAAGCTGCTGAGTTCAGATCGGAAAACACCGCACTGAAGGTGCCTCGAGTACTAATCCATGGGGAGATCCAATGGGCAGCGAGGCACCCCTGACTGAGCTGCCGACACAGATTTGGGGTCACCTGCACACAGCTGGTGACTGAAGATGTGACTAGATCTGGCACAGAGCACATGGAGTAAGAACAGCTAAGGGTCATGGACGGAGCCCTGAGGAACATTTTAGGGGCACAGAGAGGAAAAGAAGCTCGTAAAGGAGGCTGAGAAGAAACGAAGAGAGAGAAGAACCGGAAGCAGTGTGTCATGGATGCCAATACACGGGAAGTTTCATGCAGTGGACCTCACCTCCTTTCTAATTCTATGCAATCTGTCTTATTATATAAACTTCTTGAAAGAACCTGTATCTACTGTCTATACTTCCTCACTTTCCATTCACTCCCTAACACACTAAAACCTGGCTCTTGTTTCACGATGCCACAGAGTCAGCTCTCTTACAGGTCGTCAATGTGCTTCCTTACTGCCGAATCCAGTGATCTCTCCCTCTCCCCAAGTCAGCCACGAGGTCCCGCCATCCTATCCCCCAAACACTTCTCCACCTCCTCTTCTCTCCACCCGCACCTCCGCTGTCACAATTCTGACCTCCGTCACCTTTAGCTGATCTACTCCCACAGCCTTGTATCTTTCCTCTCTGCTTACAAACTTACGCCTTTCCAATGCTTCACATTACTGCCAAAATGATTCGCCTATCTAAAAATGCACAGCTGCTGTTAATCCGTCAGTATTTCCCCTTTGCATACAGGGCAAAAACCAAGCTCCTCAGAAACCCCTCTGGGCCTCCTGTGACCAGGCCCCTACGTACCTTTCCAGCCCATCTCACAGAACTCCACTCCACACTTAATGCTATCCAACGCCAGCAAAGTATTTCTGACTGCCCCACTCCACCTGCCATAACACTACGATGTTCCACATCCACGAGACTCTGCACACATAGGACCCTCTTCCTTAAACATCCTTCCTGTCCTTCTCATTTTGGCTGGTGACTGGCAACCCTTAAGACTAAGCTTATGTGTCATCTCCTCTAGAAGCATTTCCTGACCACTCTTTCCCATGGCTGATTTCATGCCTCCTTCACACTCCTAAAGCACCATGAAAACCCTCTACAGTAATACCTACCAAGCAGTACTGAAATTATTTACTTATCTATCTTTTCCTTTAGATAGAAAATGAGTTCCTAGGCTCAGTGACTGTGTCTTACTAATTGTGAGCCCCAAGCACCTGGTACATAGCTGCTTAAAGTTATAACATGTATGTAAGTATTCCTGAACTGACTGGGATAACAAGCCGCCCTTTTTCCTAAGGCCTTCCCTAAGGGATGAGCAGGTGAGTACTGAAAGACTGTAGAAGAAGGGAGCTTCTTATGAATGGCACCATCTCCAACTTCAGAAGCATGCTTAGTATTCTAGAGCACCAAGGACACACTGTTTTTCACCTTGGGGAGAAAGTACTTAAAAGAATCAATACTAATATGATCATACAAAGGACATATGAATAACAAACAAAACCCTGAACAAAATCAAAAAAACAAACCACAAAGAGAACTCACAGTGCAAAGAGCTTCAGGAGAATCAGAAGCCCAGGGTTCTAATTCCAGCTTTATCATGTGAGCTGAATGACACTTGGCTGAACTGTTAAATTTATCTGGACCTCAGTTTCTCTTTTAAATAATGAGAGTTAGGTTAATTGACCTTACGGCTTTTTCAGCTATAACATATCATAGATCTGTTCCAGAAATACAGCTGACCCTTAAACAAAGCAGACGTTGGGGTGTTGACCCCCTGAGCAGTCAAAAATCCATGTATATCTTTTGATTCCCCAAAAAATTAAGTAATAGCCTAGTGTTGACTAGAAACCTTACCAATAACATCAAGTCAATTAACACATATTTTATGTTATATATATTATACATACAATAAAGTAAGCTAGAGAAAAAGTTTTTTCAAACTGTTGCAAATCTCCAAAAATATCTTCCAATATATTTACTGAAAAAAATCCATCGAAGTGGACCTGCACAATTTCAACCCATGCTGCTCACGGGTTACCTGTATTCTCATGCAGGGGCCAAAAACACATAAAACTAGGGAAGGTGACAAAAGGATGAATGATAAAAAGGAAAGCAAGGATAAGAAAAGCAACTGAAAGGAAAAATCTAGGAGAAACAAGAACAAGAAGTGGAAGATAACTGCTAGGAGAAATGGAGACAAATAAGACACCAGTAAAAACTAGGTCAGAGAGAATTCTAGGGTTTGCATTCAGAAATTTTTTAAAACACAAAAAGAAAAAAGAATGAACTCAGTGTAGCAGGGAAGATCTTCAGGATTTTGAGTATAAAAATTTCTACTTCTGGCTCTGTGACAAATAGATATTCTGAAAAAATCCTCTTGCTACCAAGCAAAGAGCCTATATACAGTGCCTGTGTATCAAAGTGGTACGCCAGCCTAAAACCACAGCCACCCTTAGGATACATGCCAATATCAGGAACTAGGGCCTTGGATTTTGATGGCAGCTCAGGGACAGAAGACAATGCCTTAAGCCCATTTAAGGTGGGACAGAAGACTCCAGTCGTGACAGTGAACTTGAGCAGACTAACCTACCTGCAGATAGCAATTACAAAATATGGACAAAATATAAAAACAGAAGTATCGGAAAGTATGTGAAGGCATGAGAGAGTGGCCAAAGGCAAGCAGAACCTAGATGAGATCTATGTGTGAACACAGGTTTGTGAGACTTCTTACCACAGGGCACCTCCCTTTCTGCACAGGTCATGGAAGCAGAAAGCCACAGGCTTACTGGCTTTAGATGTCAGTGCAAAGTAGGCTGAGAGGCTAGAAAATCAGGGAGGAAATTCTGAAGTGGAGGGAACTACAAAAGGGACAAACCCCCAGATCTACATACAAACTGAACCCAAATCCTCGGCTAACTGCTCAACTGTCCTTGTCTATGGGGAAACACCTTCGGGCCCACTGCAAAACAACAGCTAGAAATTAAAGGAACTAAGCAGAAATTTTAGCTGTCCCCCACTGCAAAGGAGACCAAGTTTGGAGTTCAAATACAGCCAACAACTGTCTGCTAGAATAAAAACCCACATGCTTCAGGAAGAATGTAACAGAATTCAAAGTCTTTACAATGTATCATTCATAATGTCCAATATACATTTTTAAATGACCATATATGTAAAAAAACAGAAAAATGTGATCAAACTCAAGAAAAGCTATTAATAGAAACCAATCCTAAGGTGACCCAAATATTGCAATTCACAGACAAAACCTCAAAGCACCAATTATAAATACTCTCAAGGGAGAAAAAGATGTCTCATAATGAATGAACAGATAGGAAATCTCAACAGCAAAATGTAAACTATCAAATGGAAATTCTGGAGTTAAAAAATACAATGAATAGCAGAAACCAAATATTCATTGTATGGGCCTAACAGATGGGAGACAGCAGGAAACAAAGTCGATGAACTTTAACACAAATCAATAGTAATTATCCAATCTTAGAAATAGAGAGAAAAATCGTACAAAAATGAATAGGACTTCCAAGATTTGAAGGATAATATCAAGTGGCAGAAAACAGTATAATTAGAGAAGGATAAGAGAGAGTGGTTCAGGAAAAAAATAATTGAAAAAAAATAGCCAAATACTTCTCAAATGTGGAAAATGTTAACTTATAGATCCAGAAAGCTCAACAAACCCCAAATAAGGTAAATACAAAGAAAACACCATCTAGGTACATTATAGTCAAACAGAAGGAAATCTTGAAATCTGCCAGAGAAAAACAAGTGTGGGGGGGGAGGGGAGGCGGGGGAAAGGGCCAACAATGAAACAAATGAAGGTTTGGCTTCCAATCAGAAACAAGGGAGGCCAGACAATGATGAAA